AGCTGTTTGATAAAGCTGGGGCAGCGCCGGTGATGGCTCCCCAGGCTCCCCACTGGCAAATCCTCCTCCAAAATCCAGCCCTGGAGAACCAGAAAAGCAGGGACACAAGCCCGGCGTCAAAAATCCCAGGAGGCAAGATTAAAAAAACCCGCTTATCCAAAATGGCAACGGGATTTCAGGGCACAAACAGAGGCAACGATGGAACTTCCGCTGCCATTTCACTTTATTGGCATTAATTTAGCACGTTCCCGGGAGGCAGGCAGCGTCAGAAATCATTTTGTTTTCCTCTCCAGGGCCAGGCTGTCGTGCAGCTTGGACACCTCGGGCTCGTAGGCCTCCATGACCAACGTCCCGTTGGTATCGAAGAATTTCGCGATGGATTTGGTGAACTCTGCTTCCCTCTGCTGTTTGGTTTTCCCACTGATGAAAGTCAGCTTCAGGGTGTACTTGTCATCGAACCTGCAGAGACAAAATGGTCTGAAGCTGCGCCAGGGCTGGACATTAGGAAAAACTTCTTCCCCTTGGGGCTGTCAGGCTCTGGAAGGGGCTGCCCAGGGAGGTGGTTGAGTCCCCAGCCCTGGGGGGATTTAAAAGAAGGAGAGATGAGGTGCTGAGGGCCAGGGTTTGGGGGTGGGATGGCAGGGTGAGGTTAAAGGTTGGACTCGATGATCTCAAAGGGCTTTTCCAACCAAAGCGATTCTATGATTCTAAGGCAGAGCGAGAACTTGTTAAGTCTGGCTCAGTACAGACGCCAACGGAAAGCTGATGAGAAATCCCCATCCTCATCAGCCCCCCCGGAGCAGACGTCCCCACGGATGCCAACCGCTGCAACCCCCAGGCCTTAATTATAACACAATTAAAGATTTTTTTTTTTTTATCCTCTTCACAATTAATTTCATTTAAAAGAGAAGCGAAACCATTTGCGGCAGGAAAACGCCCGGCACCGGGCTGGCTTCTAGATCAGGACCTTGGTTTTTGATGGACTGATACAGATTCGGAGGTATAAAAATAAAAGGGAAATATTTTGGGTGATCCTACGGAGAGACGGGGATGGAAACGGTGCATGCGGGGCTGGCGAGCCCGTCCCCCATCGCTGTCACTTCTGAGTGATGGTGATATTCTGCGGTGAATTAAAATGATATTTGAAAAGTCATGGCAGTCAGGTGAAGTCCCTGGTGACTGGAAGAAGGGAAATGTTGTACCCATTTTCAAAAAGGGTAGAAAGGAAGACCCCGGGAACTATCGACCTGTCAGCCTCACCTCTGTGCCCAGGAAGATCATGGAGCAGATCCTCCTAGAAGCTATGCTAAGGCACATGGAGGCCAGGGAGATAATTCGAGATAGCCAGCATGGCTTCACCAAGGGCAAGTCCTGCCTGA